ATGATGTTATGTAACCAAGATTAAATATGTTTTAGCACAAACTACTTTTTATTTCACTTGAAAATTTTTACAATCTTCTGAAATTGTCAGTGCGACATGTACCACTTATTTTTGTTATTTTGATAAGTTTTGTTTAGTTTGTATAAGTGGACAATTATATTAACAGGCAAAATAGAGGGAAAGGGTTAAATTGAGCTCAGAAGTCAGCCTCAGTTTACTTGTATGAACTGTTTATGTCCAAGTTCTAAACTGAGACTGTAACCTTGAGTTTTAACACTTGCAACGGGTTAGCACTGTTCCTTGCCAGTGAACTCATGATCTGAATCCCTTGCTACTAACAGACCCCTTCCTCTCTCCTCCTCCTCCCCTCCCCCAGTTTCTGGTTGTTTCTACCACCTATTATTTGTACTGGTTGCCATGAGAAGAATAAAAATGTGCTTGCATGCGTATAAATCTTACATATGTAGATTTTTCTTCTAATAAGTAGTACGAGTAGTGTAACTGCCCACCAGTATAAGCAGCACAGCTCGACTAATCTGCCCACATGGATTCAATTGTTGAACCTGACAGTGTGAGGGAGCTGAATTAATAGCTAAAAGCATCGTGGATTAATGACTGCACATTAATTCAACTCTTGTTCACTGTCCGACTCCGTAATCTCTCCAAGACAGTTTTTACAATGGTTGGCACTCGCCTTCCAAACAAAATACTCAAAAAAACTTCAACAAAAAAGGAAGGCAAACAAGATGTTAAAATGAATCCTAATTCCAGTGTTTGACGAGATTTCCTCTTTAATCTGTTTTTTTTTTGCTGATTCTGTTTTGTGTCACATTAGCAGCTGGTTTGGGATTAGCTGTGTCCATATAAGACCTACAAAGACCCTCAGTTTGATTGACGGCCTGAACATGTTGTGGTAGACTTGCTATTTGTGTTGTGATCCATGTTTGCACATGACATCATACACCTATTGAGTGCAATGCACTGGTTTTTGAATTACTGTTTTCTGCTGTGAAGTACTCGAGTTGCCAGCTCACTGTGGCCATGCATGCTCAGAGCAAAAGGATACAATTTATATCAGTGGGATGCAAACTGAACCCATGCCTGCCATGTAAATGGTTTATTAGCATTTCAATACAAGCTGCATGGAAATTTCCCAGTTTTGAAGCTGCTGATATGCAACTTTACCCATAATCAAAATGAAATTCACGATGGCTGTCGTTTGTAGTATTACTGTGAGTTCAGCTTGTGATCACAACAATTCGTGAAGCCAGGAATCATACACAATCCTGATGGAAGTTATGTTCTGTCAGAAGAGAGCATTTTTATTCTCTCCCTCATCAACACTTAATGGCTGATATATGACTATCCTCCTTGGGAGGGAGTGAGGGAGGTAAGTGGGGTCTCCTTGGAGCTTAACTGTCTTTCGGGTGACATGTTTGACAATGGAATGTCAGAATTGAGCCAGCCCTCTTTGGGAGTCTTGGTAGTCTTGTAGCTCAGTGGTTAGAGCACTCGCCTTGCAAGCGAGACACCTGGGTTCAATTCCAGGCAGGGCGAAACCTTGCGCAAGTTTCCTTACTCCACACACCTAATAATCCCTTCAAAACAAAACAATAAGAAATTGATCATTTTCAATCCACGACTGTTTGTGGGACACTGTTGTGCGCAATTGGCTGCCGCGTTTCACCCACAAATATACGGTCAATTCACTTTACAGTCTATTTTGTGAAGCGCTTTGAGACGTCGAGAAGACGTGAAAAGCGCTATACCAAATGCAAGGATTATTATTATCATCCTGAGCCAAGAAGGTCCGAAGTATTCCAGGGCACTGCTGATGATCACACAGCCAGCCTGGCTCATCGGCAGGGAAGGGCAGACCAGACACCGGGGCCAGGGAACCACTCAGCTTCTGTTAACCCTGCAAGCTAAGGCGTTGGTACTAACTGGACAAGCAGCAGAAAAGCTTTAGGCAGTGCTCTCAATAATAATAATCCTTGCATTTGACATTATCACATTTTCAATGTTTCAAAGCACTTCACAGAATATATTGTAAAGTAAATTGACTGTATATTTTGTGGGTGAAACGTGGCAGCCAATTGTGCACAGCAGTGTCCCACCAACATTGTGGGAGGTTATTCGCGGACAGAGAAACGCACATGTTGATAGATTGAGAGACAGGAGGAGGCCGACACAAAGGGATACTGAAGCAGAGATGCTTTTTATAAAGGATGTTTTATCGAGTGGCCCCAAACCTCTATACCAGCCTCTCGCTCTCTGATTGACCAGGATTTAGCCAAACGCTGTAACAAAGGTTTTGATTTTAATTTAATAAGAAGAATCCTTGCATTTGATATAGCACCTTATCACGTCATTGAGACATCTCAAAGCACTTCACAGAATATACTGCAAAAGTGTACTGATTGTGTATTTTGGCAAGTTATGTAGTTTTTAAACTGGTTAGATTTCAGCACTACTCCAATGCACACAAAGCCTTGACTCTTGCCAACCTGCACCTAATACTTTCCAGAATTGGGCAAGCAGGGTGCATTCCTCCAGAGAGAGAGTACACATGCCATTCCAATAAACATTTCTGGAATTTCCATTTGTAGGTGGAAGTCATTTAGTTTGGATACTCTTAAGCATGGTGATGGATTTCTGCATGTGTCAAGACACCTGGCTGACCAAAAAAAAAGGTTCCATAGACACTATTTGCTCTCCTAGTTTTATTTGGGGTTGAGTTGGCTCCAAGGTGACACAGCTGGGAATGGAATATGGGAATTAATACGATCCTCTATGGTGTTCTCAGTAATTTGGTTTGTGACTTGGGAAGATCCACAGTACTTCAAGGCACTGCTGATGACGGCCAGCTGGGGTTTTGACAGGATTTAGGTGAGTCAGTAATTCAGCAACCTGGAGGAGGTTGCTCCTGCACAATCTTCTTCGAGAGCAGAGTTCCAGGATATTGACAGAATTCTAATGAAATGGGAATCCATATTAAGGAATGTCAGTCAGAAATATAGCAAGTTAAACCCCAATATGGGCAGCAAAACTAGCTCTTTCCTAATATAAATAATTCCTTATACCAGTTAACAAGAACTCTGCCTGTGCATTTATGTACTTGTGTCTAGAGCTCTGCTTTCTCCGGACTAAATAATATGAGGCAAGCAATATATCTGATGCTATTGTTTACACCACTCTAGAAGGTACTGCTCTCAAATACACCTGCACCATAAGACACTGCTCAGAAAGGTATAAAAGCACAAGGAAATTTTCCTTTGCCTTTAAGACTAGAATAAAGTGTTAGCAAGCAATTTCACATGATCCCATTAGGAAACTATATGGTTTGGAATATGTGATATTAGTCTGACCTCAAAGATGGAGCTGTTGAAGATGGATGGATCAAGGACACGGCTCTGAAGAATTCCTCTAGCAATGTCCTGGAGCTGAAATCATTGTCCTCTGACATTCACAACTATCTTCCTGTGACCACTCTGATAGCATACATAATGGATGTAACTAGTAGCATGTTTACAGAATAACATAAAAACTGATGCTGGTGACAAGCATTGCATGCTAATGCAGACATGTTAAGCCAAGTTAGTTAGTTGGGGGCATAGTTACTGCACTTTCCTGGCTTCGCTCTCTCCGTGGAGTTCTTCTGTGTTGGAAAAAGACCCATGAAGCAATGACTTCCAGGAGGAAAACCTGATGGCACCCACCTACCTTTTCTTAAGCATTCCTAAAAGATTTTAGGAAGTAAATAGAAGGGAAAGATTGTTCATCTTACTCTAAACTCAAAGATACGCCCCTATATATCTTACTTAACAATTTTGAGAATATTCCAAGTACGCTTATCTTAATAGGCATTTTCATGAAGAGGTCTAGTTCGGGAATACATAATCCTTTAATTCCAGAATTAAAGAGCTGCTTACTATTTCAAATACCTACTTATATTTTTTAAGTATCACTTTGTGGTGCAAAAGAGATTAAGGCTTCTTCAGAAGAGGTAATATCAGAGATAAATGTTAGAGGCCTGGTGGATTGCACTCTTGGGACAGAGTCTGGGTAGGTGCCGATTGAAAGTGAAGGATTGTACTTTAGTGGGCTTGGATAACAAATGATGCTCTTGTGCTCTCCTTGTGGCCAGTTTATAGATCAGTATTGGCAGTGGTTGGCAGCATATCACTGTCCACTCCCTTGTCAGAGGACTCTTTGTGAAATGCAGCTGCAGGGAAAAACATGAAAAATTATTTTAAAAAGGTCTTCCAAAGAGCTGACTTTAGTTTAAACAGGCGCATGATACAACTGATCTCTTGTACTTGTCGTCGCTGAAAGTTTGTAAGGGTACACTGGCTCAAAGGGTAAATGCACCATGTGGTCTGATGTGAAGCCAGACAAACTAGGAAACAATTCCTAATCTGTGCTAAGTGACTACCTCATCAGGAGTCAGTACGATTGGTGTCAATGGCTCACATTAGAAAACCATTGAACCAGGGCTTTGACTCCTAGTTATGTATGGTCCAGTTATCCTGCTTGAAAGTGCTTGTAAGTTGAAGTCAGTGTGCTTAGCTGTGGTGCCTTCTTATCATCTTACCTTACTGTATCTTCCCATGAAGACTGGGCACTTGGATAAAATGGCAGCATGCTTTTCAAGACTATGGCATTTTACACTATCATCATTCTCAGGTTGTATAGGCACACAACATGAGTAACATAGCACGTTCATAATCCCTTTATCAAACCATGTCTTTATTACCAGACATTTCCTTTTGGCTTTTGGTTTAAGGAAAATTGTTTTTAATCACTGTGGAAAATATAAACCTAAATATACAGCAGTTTTACTTACAAAGTTAAACAGATATTCTAAAATATTATACAACTATCAGAAACATTTAGTTCCCCAACATCCACAGTGTATAACTCCACTCTTGACAAAACAGGTTTTATTGTACAGGCTTCTAAAATTTTAAATTTCTTAATTTTTTGTACAAAGTACAGAAAAAATATTTTAAATTCATTTTTAAATAAAATGCAAAAAAAAGTAAAACATGTTTACATATATATGCATAAAGGACTGTGTGATGTCTGAATGTGGTAATCCAAGATGAATCCAAGCCAGAGCTCTTCTGGTGCAAGGATATGTTTTTCATTATCTTACAGGCTACTGGATTTTACCCAATAATTGTACCTGACCACAGCAGGTAACTTTGTAAACAATAAAGTGAAGTGCCTCACCACAACTGAGCCTTCCAATCAGATCACATGATCAGGACCACAGGGTCTGAAGGCAGACACCATTTTTACATCAGTGCTTTTTTCCCCCAAAAATAAAATAATCAAATGAATGTGTTTACATATGCAGTTTTGCCAGAAAAAAAATCCCTTTTTTAGGCCGACTGCCAAAAAGCAGAAAAATACATTTACAGAAAGATTAAGAAACGGACTGTATACAAAAAAAGAAAAACGTATAAACAAAAGTTTTGTTTGAAAAATTTTCACAAGTCCATCCAAAATGGAATTCTGGTTTCAAATGTACAAGAACATAGTTAACATTGCTGTTAGCAATCAGGATAGTGTTCTTTCAAACACAGCAATTTCCATGTAACACATAATTTACATAATCTGTTCTGAAATTAGGTCATAAAGTAGCGACAGCAGCTGATAATGTGACCTGATCCTTCAGCAGTTAGATGTATGTTTCAGCCTCGCCATCGGTGTATAGGTATGTGACTGATGATCCAAGCAGCTCCTGAAGTTCACTTGTGAATTCCACCAGCTCCAGTGTTTGTCTGTTATCAATGTCCTTAGTCTCAAAATCCTCTGGGTAAGTGAATAGCTGGCTCAAAGAAGCCTGTCTATAAAACTCAATTTCTGAAATGGTGGCATTTTCAATATGAGGAAACGAGGAGTGAAAGATGCGGGCTGACACCTTCAGTTTCCGTAACACATCAGTTAACAACAGCCAGTTCCGGGGACTGTGATGTAAGGGAACAGAAGAAAACACATTGCATGGTTTGCTTAATTGAGTTGCAGTGCCACTTAAACCATAGCTAGACATGTATACAAAAATATATTTATTGAGGTGGCCTTCGAGATAGCAATTAAAGATGCTCTCTACTAATTTGATGTTGTCTAGGTAACTATGCTTTAATACCCAACAAACAAAATGTAGTTACATAGAAACATTGTATATGCAACACAGAAGATTGTTCAGCCCACTGTGCCTGTGCCATAGATTGATAGTGGAACTATCCACTCTCACCCATTTCCCCACCCCCAGATTGTGAGTGTCTGAGTACAAAAAAGTGAGTGTAAGGGAATAGAGATGGGAACAAGCAAGACAAAAAGAGAGAGAAACTTGCAAATTGTCAGTCGCATTCACAAAGTACAATTTTGCTAATTATGCTTACTCCTATAGATCTTTGGTTCGAGATAAGCCTTCCTCTCTAATGCCCATCTTGGGCAATATCTGAAGCCACTTCCCTAATTTATGCTGTGCCTTTAGAAAGAGGATGCATTCAGAGATGATTATAACTGGGACAGGTGGCACTGAGATTCAAACTTACTCTACACCAATTTTACCTTATTGTTGTGAACTATTAGTATTTTAGAGTGAAAAATTACTCTTGGCCAATTAATGGTCTCAAGTCAAAAACCATGGAGAAATCATCTCATACAAATACTTCTTTGTTTATATGAAAGTTAAACATGCCAGAAGACTATAGATGAAAATTACAATCATATATTTGGTAGCTTTACCAAATATTTTTAAACGGAGTAGTGTATTAACATTGAATTAGCTTCATTGCGCTCACAATCTTCTGACTCAGTTCTAACTGAATCAAGCTGACACCTGGTACAAGACTCCAGAGTGATGATACTGTTGGGGAGTTGTAACTTAAGTGCAAATTATGCAATTGTCATGAAGCTGAAAATCTTGGTAAAAGTCAAAAGGTCCAGAACTTAAAGTGAAGCCCTTCGAGCTACTGACATCTCATTTTGGAATTAAGAAAACAATAATTTTAAGAGAAGGTTGGTGAGCCAAAATCATATAGAGAAGGTGACTCTATGGGCATGTGACCCACAGACAAATTCAGAGAAAACCTCTGTGAAGAGAATGAACAATGTACTTCTCTGCTTTTTAAAATAGACTGGGCTGTTTTAATGTTTTTACTTCATGTAAATAAATGTGGCCCCTCAGTCTTAGCATCTAGCCGGTCAAGCAATAACTGTCTTTTGATAGCAAAGTGAAATCCAGCAGGAGCAACTGATACAGGGGAATTGTTAATCCCTTGGACACACCCTCTGTAATGCAAATAAGCATGTGCGGTGACTCCAAGAGGTTAAAAATGTTTTTAGATTTTTATAGCTTTATCACAATGAAGCATTTACAGCTTTAGCAATAATTAGTCAAATGAAGTGACTATTTTGTATGGAGTCATTTTGTACACAGTGAGATTCCACAACTAGCTATGAGTTAAATTAATCTGGAGGGTATTTGGCCAGGACAAATTCCCTTCTCTTTTTGAATAACATCATATGCGATCTTGGATTAGCATCTCATCCAAAAGAGTACCTCTGACAATGCAGTGCTTCCCCAGCAATGCACTGAAACATCAGTGTCGACTATGAGCTCCTAATAACTGATTGGGGCTTGCACTCACAATCTTCTGACTCAGTTCTAACTGAATCAAGCTGACACCTGGTACAAGACTCCAGAGTGATGATATGGCAAATTCTGATAATCCAACCGAATTAAAAGAGAGTACCTACCCCTGAGAGAGCGAGACCTGAATGTTGTGACAAGGTAAAAGAGGCGCGTCAGAAAATTCAAATTCCAACACATCATCCAATTCCTCCTCTTCATCACTTGGGCCAGGTGGATCATCCAAGACATTGAATCCAGTCTCTTCTACTGATTCTGGAATCATAAAAGACAGTAAGAATGATGACTATATGGCTAGGAGATTTTTTTGTGGAAGAATTGAGCAGTATTATGGTTGCAAAAAAAAACTTGTGCACAAAAATGTATTTTGAAAAATGTAGAATTTAAGCTTCTAATATCAAGAAATTTGATAAAATGACTTTAACAGGAAACTTCTAAAACAAACATTATATAGTGCCTTTCACGTCAGAAAGACGTGTTGGAACTTGAATTTTCTTTCACGTCAGAAGGACGTGAAAAGCGCTATATAAACAGCCATTGCCAAGGACTTATTTTACCAAATTTACCAACCACAAACTTCTAAACCAGAATAATTCTAATCAAAATACTGTTGCTTTAAATAACTGTTCACATTTACCTAAACAGGACTTCCTAGCAATTGTTTTCCCCCTCACTGATTTCTCTACCTTTCCACCACTCTCCTCTCCTGATGGTATTGGACTCCCTTTTAACTTCTCCTGGAGTGGTTATCTGATCTCTGCCCCAACTGAGATCAGATAACTTAGAACAGATCAGGAATCAAATCAATAACTTTTTGATCCATTTGACAGTGGTACGCTAGCTGGTCAAAGGGAGCAGCCGTTCTGGGGAACTTACAAGTCATCGGTTTCCTGATTTTTAAGGGTTTTTTTTTGCAATTAATGATTCACCTCCAATGTTACACTATGTTCAGATGACTTCTACGATGGATATCCGCTATTGTGAAATGCCCTGAGAGGCCGTCCGGCATGGAGGGTGCTATATAAATCCAAGTTGTTGTTGATATTGTCATTGCACCCTCCTTGGCTAAAATATACTTAACTAATATTTGATATAGTGTCTTATCCCATCTTTTAGATGTCTCAAAGCGCTACACAGAATATGCTGTAAAGTGAAATGACTCTACATTTTGTTGGCGAAATAGGCTGTTGACTTATGATGGATAACATGTATCCCACACGCATTTAAGAGGTGAATAATACATTAATCTGGAGGTCCCACAAACAGCCACAAGGTTTGAAGGAGCTTCTAAGGGTGGCAAAAAATTACACATCACCTTTTCATTTTGAGCAATGTTTCAGTGAGACAGGGGTAGCACCCATGATTAACCAAAGTGTAGCTTTCTAACATAAAGAAGTTAAAGTTATAGGGTTATGCCAGTTTTATTAATATTACTGAAAAGTCTAGTTTAGTTAATTCTTTACTACCAGTCTGGAATATTAACTTGATCTGCTTAATGAGTCCCAAAGGTTTTTAAAGATGGTTGTTTGAAAAAAGCTTTAACCAATTTGCTTTAAGTAAAGCATTATGCTTGAAGGCACTTTCTTGGTCCAGGAAGACACGTGAAATCTATACGACGAATGAGTCTGCTCAAAATTATGTTTTTGGAGTCCAACGGTCAATGGTCCTTGAGTTATGCATTCAAATCACAAGAGTCAAAATTGCTTGCCAAGTGTGCTTGATTTCTCGACTGGTCACTGGAAGGGAGGCTTCACACCAAAGCAACAGCTGTGCTTTGTTCAATACAGTTCAAGATCCTGGTTTTCAACTTCAAAGCCCTCCATGGCCATTGGCGGGCGGGCTTTATGCCAGCCATTCTGCCCCCACCCTCTGGAACTCCATCCCGCAGCCCCTCTGCCTCGCCCCCTCCCTTGCCTCCTTCTAGACCCGTCTCAAGACCCTCCTCTTTGACCGTGCCATCGGTCACCCTCCCCGATCCTGACCCCCAGCTCAGGTCGGAAACATTGACTGTCCAGCACCTTGGGACATCTTTCCGAAGTGAAAGGTGCTAAACAAATGTCATATTAATCTTTACATAAATGTACACCAGAAAAAAACAAAGTTTCAGTCATTCATAGTTGGGGTATTGGAGAAACAAATGAAAAAGGTTAAAATTAGAGGTATGGTGGGAGGAACTTCAAAACATTTGAACATGATCACATAAGAGCTTTTCTAATCATGAATATTTTGTGCAACTGTGAAAACGCTTCAATCAGTAATTGCAAAATCTCCATGGTTACTATCATCTTGACGATGGCACAAAATTCTCCATTGCTACTGTCAATACTTCCATATGTTGGTTGACACTGCATGAACACACTCACACACAGATGCGTCTCTAAACTGATTTCTTCCCTCATATTTATTTCATGGTGTCCTCTACTACATGAACAATGCCAGCCAAGAGACTGAGGGAGATCTAGTGAAATCCATGTGTCCCAAGCTTGACCATCTCATTGTAATTTTTAAACTGCATTTGGGGCAAAAAGGTAATTTGTCAAAATGGTAAACGAACCCCAGCAAATAATTACTGGTAGGGGTTTTCAAATAGAACAGTTTATTTTTAAAAAATAGTGGTTCTCTCTTCCTCTCCCCCAGTTTGTCTTGCTGGTAGAATCCATCCTGTCTGGTGGGAAAGCAGGGGGATCCACTATCCCTGCTTTGGTTAATATATGGGTTTGAGCAACATGCAAACTTCTCCTCCCTGCTCAGTTTTCCTGACATTCCCAGGTAAGAATGAGATTAAAACTGAGTTTCCCCAGTGCCCCAGTCCAATACCCCAGCACTATCAAATCAAATACAATTCAAGGACCAATTAATCTGAGACTTTTTTTAAGAAACATTTGTCGCCTGAAATCCCTATTCTTAGCCAGCAAGTTCATCTTATCTTAAAATTTAGAATTGTAGACCATTATCAAATTCGGTTCTAATTTTGAACCCATTTTTCTTCTGTTCTTAAAACAAATCTAATCAAACTGATTTAAGAATTTTCCACAATTCAGTGGGATCTTAAAATAGGCACTTGGAGCAGGGATTCTTTGCACTCAGCTCCTGTTAACCCTGCAAGTCAAAGCTCTAATGGGTAGGAAGGTCCACATTGGACGAGCAGTGGAAAACTTGTCAAATCATACTCTTTAATAGCAAGCAATGCATTTTAGCTGGTTAAACTCCAACGTGACTTCTGGCATTCCCCAAGCTTTGGCTATTGCCATCCTGTGTCTCAGAATCAGGTAAGGAAGGTTCATCCCTTGAGAGGGAGAATGCGTACTACATTCCAGACATGTGGAAATTTCCATGTGTAAGGGGCATACATATGTGAATCTCAGTCTGAGTTTGGATACACTTAAACAAGGTGAGGGGTTTCCACATGTGTCAGACACCCAGCTGCCCAAAATGAAAGATCTTACTAAGGCTAAGACTGGGTAAAATTTCAGGCTTTGGGTGCAGATACAAGTTCATAAAAATAGACTGTATGAGAGTTTATAAGAATAAATTAGCTGATCTGAAAGCAACTGGTTTTAATTGCAACAATCCAACCTTCAGAAACTTTGTTATAACTTTGTGTGCTTTTTATAATGCTCTCTGCAGCAATTACAGTACTGTTCCCAATTCGGAAGTCTATATAAGAATATCACTCACCACACACAGAGCTGCCATAGAAATCCCAGAACAGACCAGGGTCATCTTCATTTCGACCCTGTAGGTCAGCAAAATACTCTGGAGGGGGGAAAACACACAAACTGGTCAACACACTGAAGGCAGAGCAGCTGCTCATTGTATTTGTGTCATGAAGTATATAAAAAATGTTAACAAAACATGGCAGACAAATGTGCAGTATCCCCAGCTGTGAGGCTTGAGTTTACAAAAGACTGATCTAGCAATGACTTCAGGCCAGAGCTGTAAAAAGAAATGTACCGGTGTACTGGACCAGGCATTTACTAAAAAGCTTAATGAGGCCTAAACTTCCCATTAAAACATAATTAGAATTTGGATCTTTAACTACATAGGAAGTAATATATAATTTTTGCAGTTATTTCATGGCTACGCGTTTGTTTGCTTATCGTCAGCTCTTAGCGACAAAATTGCTAATTGCTTTAAGTGGAGCAGCAGGACAGAGTGTCAGGAGCTGAGGCTAAGTGAGACTAGATCATCTTTCTGCCTCTGCATGCAGAAATGTAATGCACATGAAAGCCCTAGCTGACACTCTATAGCCACTGTTTAGTGAGAATTTTCAAATTAGTTACAGGGCACATTTTCCAAACAAATATGAGGTTGAGGCCTTTGTTGGGACTTAAATTATTGCTCTTAACAATATTTTTCCATTTCTGTAACTTCAAATTAAAGTAAAAAATATGTGGTAATTAGATCATTTCCAAAACAGTGAATTCACACGGTTGTTCAGGGCCTGTTTATGGAACGCATTTTATTACTTTGGTTCATTACTAACATCAAATTGTTCTTTAACTCCTTCCATGCAACATAAATATCTGATTGATAGTTTTACACAAATCCTAAATGTTTTCTTAATGTAAGACTGTCCTGCACTATATTTATTACTATTGCCACAATATTATTTAAGTAAATCATGCATAATTGAGAGTTGAAGAAGACTATCCATTAAAACGATTTTGTTTCAGGCACCATCTATTATTTGATAGTAATATCTTTGCAGGAACGTGCAAGTCTATTTCTGAATTCATTTGTTCTGGTTTTCTGACCATATTATTGGCAGGAATGCAGGGGCAAGGAGCAGAGGTCGGCAGAACAGGTGTAGACAACAGGCTTTCCGAACAGTCTCATTCTCCACAAAAGCCTGACTACCTATTATGGATGGTGCTAGAGAAATTATGATACATACTTGAGAGAGAAGGGAATAGATGGCAATGAGAGAGGAAATTGGTGGTGGGGGAGGGGGAGTTAAGGCTGATATGCAGTATAATGAGTGGAACAGATTAGTTGGGCCTGTTTCCATGTTATAACACAATACTATAACACTTTTTTTATGCATTTCCAACAGGTCAAGATAAATAAAGTGTATTTATTGAAGTCTAAATACAGGAAAAGGTAGCATACTTTCATCGATATGGTCTCACCTGTAGGACCCTATAGGCAGTTACCTTGGTTTCAGAGAGTTAGATTTCATTGCAAAGATGCTGACCCATGCAAACTAAATGGAGGAGGGGGGTCAGGGGGTGAAACAACTGAAATGTAAACATACTGTACCTGTGAGAAATGTTTCCATAACTTCACTATGCGTCATTTTCAGAATAGTTCGGCCAGAGTATGTGGCTAGGGTTGGATCTGCACTGTATGAAAGCAACAGCCGAACTACTTCCAGGTGATCATTTTCTACTGCATCATGGATAGGCCTTCAATTAAAGCAAATAATTGAAAATGAATACTTATTTTTGCTCCCTTAAAAAGCCTCATAGTACACAAGTTACACTTAATGTTGACAACAATTTTATTTATATATGCAATTATTTACAATCCAACCTTTTTTGAATCCTCGGCTTTCTTTTAAACCCTATACCTGGTCCTTGACCAAACTACTTTTCTTCACCTCCTGGATATCACTTTCATTCAGCCCACTTCACCCCCAATGCAGCCAGAAGTCTCATTTATGCCATTTGTTACCACTAGACTTGACACAGATTGTTGGCAGATTGTCCAAACCTCCAATACATCTAAAGCTCCACAGGCCAAAGCTTGTCTGCACTATATTTATTCCATGAACCAATTATCCCTACCCTCTCCTGGCTCCACTGACTCCCTGTACCCCTGCAAAAAACAACAAGATTCCATTTATAGAGCGCCTTTCACGTCGGGAGGACGTCCCAAGGCGCTGTACAGTTGGGTCAGGACCCGAGCGGGGGGAAATGGTCAGGGTGAGGGGAGGGAAGGGAGGGAGCGAGGAGGGGGTAGAGAGTCGAGAGGGGAGCTGAAGGCACGGTCAAAGAGAAAGGTCTTGAGACCGGCCTTGAAGGAGGAAAGGGAGGAGGCGGCGAAGGCACTGGGGGATAGAGTTCCAGAGCCTAGGGGCTGAGAGGCTGAAGGCCCGGCCACCGATGGTAGGGCGGTTGGGGCGGGGGATGTGGAGCAGACCGGAGCCAGAGGAACGGAGGGTACGGGCAAGTAGGTAGGGGGATAGTAGGTCAGAGAGATAGGAGGGAGCAAGGCCGTGAATGGCCTTGTAGGTGAGGATGAGGATCTTGAATTCGATCCTCTGGGGGATGGGGAGCCAGTGGAGGCGAGCGAGGGTGGGAGTGATGTGGTCGCGAAGCCTGGTGCGGGACAGTACACGAGCTGCAGACCAACTTCAAGATCTGGTTCTAACCTCCAATTGTCTCCATGCCACAACCTACACGTGCAAACTCCTTTAGCCTCACTCTCCCACACGCTGCATCTCAGACCTGTGGCACATCCATTGCACCCTTTGACATCCACTACTAACACCCAAGCTGTAAGGCCACACTCTCTGGAACATCCTCTCTTACACCTTGCCCTCTCCTGGTTTTCAAAACTCTTTTAAAAACCTCTCTCTCTCTCTGACCATGCTTTCAGTCATTCCCCTCCTAACCTTTCAGTGCCCATCTTGCTCAGATCCTTGTAAAGTGTTTTGAAGACTACCCTATAGGAAAGGTTCTACATAATTGCAAAACATTGATGTTGCTTGTGGTATTGAATACTGAGATATAACCTCAGTTGCCCCAATTCATTGGGAATTCAGCACCTTATCATTGAAGCTGTGTGGCTGCTACACGTCTATTTAAATGATCTTTAGCAAAAAGAATCTGGTCATGGCAACTCAGGTAACAAAAAAAATGTATACCTTGTTCCATCTTGAGCACTGCAATTCACATCAGCTCCATGTTCTAGAAGATGCCGTACGATGCTAAGCCATCCTCTTGCACAGGCTTCATGCAGAGCACAATAACCTGCATTATCTCGATGATTGACATCACAAACCTTGTTTTCCAAACAGTACAAGACTACTTCCTAAAAAAGTTAAAAAGAATTAGCTTGAAAGCAAAACAGGAGTCACTTTTCCTAACAAACACAACAAGGAATTAGCAATACTTATGCAACTATATAACAGTACTTACATTATTGTGTCAACTATCAAGGGTAATAATTGCTTCAAAAAAAACTGGTCAATCAATCCACAACTGTTTGTGGGACCCTGCTGTGCGCATTTGGCTGCTGCGTTTTGCCCACAAAATATACAGTCAGTTCACTTTACAGTATATTCAGTATATCAAATGCAAGGATTACTTTTACTCAATAATAAACTGTTCCTGTTCCATTGAAATGAAGTTTGAATGTAAAATGAGATGTCAAACAACTTCTTAAAACAAGAGAATACTTGGGCTTGAAAACTAATTTTATCCTAGACTACATTACTAAAATAATTAAATGTAAATGTTCCTGTAACTATAGGATACAATATGAATTATTGTCCTATTTTGGCTGCACATAAAGCAAGTACGCATCAGCATTTCTATCTTGAATTTACAAATCTTAAGCCGCTGACAAATGCTGCAGCGATTGATATAAAGCCAACTCAAGATATGCTCTTCCTGAGCCAGAAGAACCGTCTCCAATTTGCCTAATTCTTGCAGAAAACTACATGTTACAATTAGTGAATCTGCTAGCTGGCCAACCCCAAAACAAACAGAATTCACCATTTCCAGTAATACTGAATCCTGAACTTCCAGATGTATAAATGACAATTAACACAAATGATAAAGAATGTAAAAGCCGCATTGTACCTCTCACTAAGTCCTGTCAATGTATTATCTCATACAATGTTTTTTGTAGAATACAATTTTGGTATAAAAATTACCTACAGCAAAGCTTTGAAATGGAATGTGTTGAAAGATAGGTTTACACTAAGTTTTTGTAAATTTACATTGTTTTTAGATTCTATTAAGAACAAAATGTTATGTTTTGGAATAGAGTGACATTATTTTCACTTCTAAGTTGTGTCAACAAGTGAAAAATTAGAATAACTGGAATCTAATGAAACAGTCACCACAATTCCAAGATGGATATTTCAGAGGGAAACACTGCAGCATCGTACAAAAAACACTAAATTATAATATAGGTCTTGCAAAATGAGTGCTTAAACCTGGAGGAGCATTAAGCACTAGTACACATTGAGCAAAAAATACCACCTGCCTACAACAAAACACTAGATAATTAAGAAAAATATTAAAATAAAGATGCTTTACAGTTAAACTGTGATGCTGAAGGTTAACCCAGCATCCACTACCAATTCTCTCTCCACACGAATTTAGTGTCAATTTCAGAACATAGGAGCTTGACTGCGATATTAATCTCAGTATTTAAGAATGCATTGGGCTTAGGTAATATGGTTGGTGATTTCAAAAACTGCTGGTCTTGGTCTAAAGGATCAGCATTAGTTCCAAACTATGTCATTAATATTCTCTGCAGTGTCTGCAATTTTCTAAATATCTTTATTACATTTCTCATTAAAAGAGACTGGGGAGCAGTATTCCTCCTCCTCAGAAGAGCTGCAATTACCTCTACAAATCGGGTTATGTAAACAAGCAGCTGAACTTCAAACACATTACTTACAAGTTACTTAATTGTGAACAATTCCTGGATATATAAAATTATTTTTTATTATTGAGAAGTTAGGTAAAGGGTCAGGATCCATATTGCAGTACACTACTAAGGTTGAAAATCCCCAAATCAGCTAAGTGATACCAAGCTTGGGCTTTTAAACACTTGTATTTTATAGGAGAGGGGAAGATTTGAAGTCCCTGCATAGAATCAATGAATAAAAGAAATTGTGATGAGTTTTGGTTTTACAAGCTTCCTTTGCTTTGCCAAATTCTGTATGTTCACATTTTTGTTATACTGGGATGAGCTTGCTAGCTGCATGCAGTCGGTTGAACTCAGTTTCTCAAAGGAATCAATGTTGCAGGAATCAATGAAACGTTGGCCAAGTTTCCTTACTCCACACGCCTCTGTTTACCTAGCAGTAAGTAGGAACGGGATGTTAGTCGATTTACAAATTGCTTTTCTGGGGGTAATAATCCTTAAAAAGTAATAATTTGGTCACTTTTCCAGGGTTAATAATCCAATCAAATTTTAAAAATAAATAAATAATTTGGTCACTCAATCCGCAACTGTTTGTGGGACACTGCTGTGCGCACTCGGCTGCTGCATTTTGCCCACAAAATAAACAGTCAATTCACTTTACAGTATATTCAGTGAAGCGCTTTGAGACGTCTAAAAGGCATGATAAGGCAGTAAATCAAATGCAAGGATTATTATTATTACAGCAAATAGAAGCAGGGTGATGTCCATGGGAGGTTTCAAGGAACAAAACGAAAGCTCAAAAAAAAGTTGTTATAGAGAGAATATGGAGCCTAGAGGTGAGGGAAAGATCACTAATCAGACAGTAAGTCTGTCTTGCACTCTGTCTAGCAGTGTTAAAAGTGCCTCCCACGGCTGAGAATAGTATTCCAGTTTTGGATGAACTTGGCTTTATAGTTTGGTTCTTCAAAGAAAAATAAATATTTTGATGAAAGATGAAACCAAGCTTCTTGCGAGGCTGCTTTAGCAATAAGGGATGTGAGATTTTCACTTGAAACCAGAGGAGACAGGGAGGCTAACAATGGATGAGGTGTGCAGCCACTGAAGGCAAAGGGTAGTAGTAATTGGTCAGGTGTACAAGATACATGAAAAAACTGTCTGAGAAACTGCCATTGCCTCCAAAGTTCATAGGTGAGATCAAAACATAATAATTGAGCCAATGCAATAAGAGATGGTTTGTTCACTCAGGGTTGTGGCTTGAAGGAAGTTTGCGAATGTAGAGTTGATTCATCGGCAAAATAGTGGATAGGATTGTATGATGAGTGGAGGAGGTCATTGATGTGGAGAGTAAACAAAATGGGATGGAGAATAGAGCACTGGAGAAAAAGATCGCCTAATTACTGTGGATCCCACCTATTGTGCTGCTACTGAATCATTTTTTATACATAGAATCCTTACATTACCATTTCACTGTATGAAAAACCTTCAATACAAGTGCTCATTTGAGGGGCCTGAAATACAATTAGCCCATATCAAAAACAAGAGTGATATAAAAGGCAGCATTACATAGGAGTTAATAAGGTGGAGTGGGGAAGAGACAAAGTAAATGTCACTTTGTCGAAATTTTCATGAATGTTGGTTCACAGTCATTATTCTACTCATTGGTTTTGGTCAAATAAATATTAAGAATCCCTTGGAGCAAATGGGCAAACACATTGTCCTTTTAACTCTGAGACCGCGTTTGGATCCAGTCCAAACTGATGGATAGAAACATTTCTTCCTCCGCTGTTTGTAGAGGTCTAATGTGAAACAAACGCAGTCACAATTTTTAATTTCTTCAATTTTAACTAGCACTAAAAGAAAACACAAGACATTTCAGTATTTTCTTCAATGTATATGATAAAATTTCTATACATATATTATGTAATTCTGTGCTACAGGATTATGAAATCAGTGTGATGCTGTTGTATCAGGGTGTTTGTTACTGAGTGACAGGATGTAGGTTGTAGGTTGCTGCCACAGTTCCCAACACACTGAGACCCTGATGGCAGAAAGGCCATTTTCCAAAAGAAAAATAATTAAAATATCAGAGAACAATTCACCCCTAGCCCTGAAGCTTCACTGGCTCAACCCTTGGGTGCAGGCCACTTAGTTGTCCTTTCACCCGCTCATGGCATGGGGTGGAAACAAAAGATAGGGAGCGATTGGAAAAAAAAGGTCTATGGTTAAAATTCTATGGTCCAAAATAGCTACAAGAAAATGCATCTCCATTATTTACATAGCAGTTTGCCTTGAGCTTAGACACATTTAAGATCAAACATCAAACTTTGAGAGATCATGTCTGAAACTACATTTAATTCGATTTTTGTGATGCAATTGAGGCATCAGATAAATATCCTCCTAAACCCCAGATATTGATGAATGTTTTTGGTTTGCATTCGGAGGAAAGTTTCAAAATACCAGCGTATTCTGCAACACATTTTGTAACCCTACTATATGATGCAAATCATTATAATCTTTACAAACAATCTAGAGCCATGTTCAGCAGTGTAAAAAAAAAGTTATCAAAATGTTTAAAACATGCCTGGAATTTGCTTACCTCTCTATGTGTACACACAGAATGTGCACTACAAGAATGCAGTCATGGAGTAAAGATTCTAATGCTGAATTTGTAATAATGGCACCTGATATTATGCACAGAATTGATTACTAAAAGCCTTAGAATGTGGCAGAAGTAATTTATTTCAGCTTTTGAGAACATTATCTTAATACTCAACTGTGCTAAGGAATGCTCATCTGACACTGACTGATAAACATTACGGAGCAGATTGGCCAGATTAACATTGTAAGCAGTTGCATCAACAAAACCTGAACATTGTGACCGAAATGCAACACTATGCACCAAGCAACTGTGGCAGCAATAGAACTAACCTAGGAATTTTACACACACTATCTATGTTCCCCAAAAAAGGATGATTGAACAAGAATAACAGATTTCTGTGTGTACCAGGGGGCTCATGGTACACAGATCAATTGAATGTTGAATGTTACACAGATTGATTGACTTCCCTTCCTATTCTCAATTCCCTGACAGTACAAGCGGACATCATTACTGTTTAATTAAAAACGTACCGAAGACCTCATCAGAATCAGGCCCCTGACATGAAGACTTAGGATATGTCATATATCTTAGGATATGGGACAAAGTTGCTATTATCTCTGTGCGCCAAATGTGAACACACAGTCCATTAGATATTATAAAAATATACCCTTGGATTTGATATAGCACCTTTGATATGGAAGAGCAGTATTTGGTAGACAATTGCAGCAACCAATTTGCGCACAGCAATGTCCTACAATCAGCCATCCGGTGAATGAACAACTGACATTTTTTATCTGGGGGATTGCTGGCCAGGGCACTGCCTTCTTTT